TCCCTAAGATCTATGCAGATAGTCTTTATATTTTATTTACCAAGACATGGAAACTTTTCAAAATCGAGTGAAAAAATGAAAAGCTTATATTCAAAGACCACTAATACCATTATATTGCACATTATTCCTATTAACTCCAATGGAGAATTTGTACACACAAATTTTATTACTTCATCCAATAGTACTTAATGAGCAGGGTTCTTATTTTTTCTCAAATTTTTTTTCTGATTTGAGAAATTATAAAAAAATAGATTTGAAAGTGAAAAAATGTACCGTCTTGTGATGCCATCTAGCGACATTTCCCATTAAAACACGTGTATTTTAGAAGATTAGGTTATTTTGGCTCCATTTCCACCAATAATTTTTCAATTTACAAACCAATGGGCCTGTTGCAAACTTTTGCTAGAGCAAAACTAAGAGTTGTTTCTTACAGATAATGCCTCAAAAATCACGATGAGCGCATCGGCAAAGTCTGAAATGCACTCATAATTTCACAATCTGCGTAAGAAATTTGCGGTTTTTTGAGCTTCCCGCTTCAAAAACGATACTACGGTACAGGTGAACATTTTGTTGCAGGAGTCGTTCCATTGGTGGCAATATTCATCATGGCCGACGCCAGTCCGCCAAAACACGTGTGATGGGACGAGATAACACCTGAACAGGTAAAAACCAGATAACAATCGGCGTGTTTACGTTCATATTTTCCTCGCCCGCCTTAATTGACCTTGAACTCTCCTCGAATTACGCGAGGAACTGCGCAAGCGTCGGCCATGATGAATATTGCCGACGATGGAGCGACTCCTCTAACAAAATGTTCACCTGTGCAGTAGTATCGTTTTTGGAGCGGGAAGCTCAAAATAACGCAAATTTCTTACGCAGATTGTGAATTTATAAGTGCATTTCAGACTTTGCCGATGCGCTCATCGTGATTTTTGAGGCATTATCTATAGGAAACAACTCCTCATTCTGCTCTAGCAAAAGTTTGCAAGGCCCATTTTATTCTCGTGCTCATATCTCGTACTCATATCTCTTAATAATTTCATCTTTAACATGAAATTTACCAAATTTTAGACACCTGCGAATTCTCCATTATATTTAATCAAGGTGATGACTTGTTTGCTAAACGCCTTCCAAATGTAAATGTAGTTAAGTACAATTGGACGTTTTTCGGCATGGAACTATGTGCATTACGACGTGAGCCTTGTTATGTATGTATTCTCATGGGTCTCAGATAGTGTTCGAAACTCACAGGCGCCAACGCGCCAAATGCGCCTAAAAAATCGGCCACGGCGCCTAAAAAATAAAGGCTCTGCGCCAACATGGCCCCAAAAAATTGCCCCCTGGAAATCTGAAATTTCATATTAGGTGATTATTCGAAATTTTCAGCACCACAAGTGAAAGCTTTTTCTATTCATCACGATTTCATCATTTGTGATTTTGTCTTCCCCAAGGTTACAGCTACTTACTAGTTCTGTTACGAAAACATCTTGGGTCTAACTTTTCTTTAAATGCGCCGTAATATATGGGCAATAAGTCAAGTTAGCCCCTAAAAAATCTTCAATGGCGCCTGAAATTCGGGCTTGATGCGCCACATGGCTCCTAAAACTCAAAGGTGAGTTTCGAACACTATGGTCTCAGGTCTCATGTCTTAATGCACAGTTCCGTTTGGCAGGAATACGTCCATTTTAATGACATCCAGGTGCAATCCTCGTACCGTCGACTTCAATCATTGCATTACATCCCATTCGATTATATCTTGTATGTGATTGTGTGTGTGAATTTGACCTTTCCGAAGAGGGTTTGTCAAGCTTTTATTGTTGTTCCAGCATTGAACATGCGGCCTGTCGGAGATCGGTGACCAACTCACCTTTGCGCTCCGTCTTGCGACACCAGAAGCGGAAAGCGCCGCTTGCCACCGCGGTGTGACAAACGTGCCGCGCGTGGGTGTAAACTGCAACCGACGCGACGGTCGGCCGCACAGTGCGGCCCTCTGTGGATAAAAATAAAAAACTCACAACTCGACATCTGAATATTTTTTTTGAAGTTTGTCATCTTAAAGACATTTCTGACTCACGATGATTATTCATTTTCAAATTCTTCGCTCAAAACTACTTCAAATTTGGGCAGAAAGTGGGCGGGAAATGGGTCGAGATTCACTGGTCCACACTGGAAAAAAAACGCATTGGATCTAGAGTCCAGACTCTTGAAAACATTGACAAGAAAAAGGACTCTTGATTCAATCAGATTTAAGCTTAAATCAAAAGGAAATCCGCTCAAATTAAGAGGCTTGGTTCTTGATTTAAGCTTGAAAGCAAATGAAGATTTCTCGCTTGAAACACAAAATGCTCCGGGTGGTTGACATTTCCTTAATCCTCAGATGTCCAACTTCAATTCTACCAAACAGATCTAGCGACTTTTGGCGACTATCAGAAATATTTGAAGTTAAAGTTGGGTGTTCCACGTTGCTTTTACATAGTTAATACAGGGCTAATTCGAGGTTGCCAACTTCAAATGAAGTTTTTCTCGAAAAATACGCAAAAGACCCGTTACTTCAGATCTCTAAATTGACTTTTGAGGCTGTGGTTACATATTGAACCAATCGATATCCCTATAATCTCACCTGAGTGATCTGTCAAATACGATCTATAAAACCCATCAAGTTAACGGGTGGTGGGGGAAGGCTGTATGAGATGCGTTCACTCGTGTTGGGCACAGTTTTTGTGAAAGCCATGTCAACACTAACAAAAGTTCAGTTCCGTAAACCCATCCCTGTTCGGACAAGGCCTTCCACTTATGAAAAACGAACGAATAATTTATGAAAGAACAAACATAAATGTGGTTAAAAATTTTAACTTCCACTGCCGCGCCGACCGCACTGTATTGGCGCAATGCGTGAAGTATTCATGCAGTCTTGTAGGCGCTATGCGTTTCACGCCGACCGCTGCTGACCACACTGTTTGGCGCAATGCGTGAAGTATTCATGCAGTCTTGCAGGCGCTATGCGTTTCCAGCCGACTTCTGCTGACCGCAGTGTGCTTGACGCAATGCGTGAAGTATTCATGCAGTCTTGGAGGCGCTATGCGTTTCATGCTGACCGCCTCGCCGCTCCGTTCCAGGTCAAATTGCGTGTTTGGTTTCTCTCTTAACTCGACTAATTGAAGGTGTTGTTTCTTGTATCACCGAGAGACGACAAAATTAGAAATTACTATACTTTTACTTTGAAAAAATGAGAGATTTTGTCGTCTTTTCTTGTTTGTAATTTATTTTCTGAATCTGATTTTTTTCTCTCTTTAATTGATACCTACATTCAAAAATATTGCAAAATTTGCCGCCCCCTAAATTTTGCCTTAATCCGGCCCTTACTACCTGCCTTAACATTCAATAAAATGCCTGGTTTGACTATTTTCCTACGACAAAGCTAACCGAAACGTCGCATCTGCATTGAGGTGTTTCAAAATCTCATCTCCTATCTCATTTTTTGGAAGGAAACTGACTAACATCCCTACACTCGAAAATCATTGCAATTTATTTGCCCATGTGAAATTTATTTCCACAAAATTTTAAGGTTAGATGTTTACATGCAATATAGATGTGCCTTCCTTTAGATGCTGGTCTCCTTTAAAAATTTAGAATAAGAGATGAAATTTTGAAACTCCACCAATGCAGATCAATCCATATGGTATATCGCAAAGCACGCCACGCCAATGATCGTGATGTGTCGCGTCGCGTCGTTTCGTGGCTTGCGCCAACGCAATTCGGTCTTTTGTTGCGGGCGCAGCGCTGCCAGGCGTCGAAAATGACGTCATCCATTTGGGGAGAGGAAACAAAATATTTCAGAGACCCCACAAAGTAGCGTTTTCTGGCTAAGAAATCAAGGTGGTGAGGTGCAGGACAGAGGTGTAGACACGTTAAGAATTGGACCTTCTCCTTTTGTAAAGTAATTTTACCAAATTAGGTCAATTGATTACTGAAAACGACCATCGATCCATAGTATTCTGCCTCGCTGAAGAAAAACGCCGCATGAGCCGTCAGATGTTGCCAAGTTTCCTCCGATAAAAACCGAATTTACTGGAAAAATTGCGGATATTATTTTCCAAAATTTGCAGACTATTTTGTACGCAAGTTAATCTAAAATATCTGAAAATTTCAAGGCAAAATAAGCATGAATGTTCTCAAAAATACATGTTTTAACAGAGGAAATTCAGCAACTCTCGAATGTTTATACGCGTTCTTCCTGAACACGGCAGTATTGGCGCCTGCGAAGCTGCAGGAATACTTCATGCATTGCGCCAAACACTGCGATCGGCGTAAGACGCTTCTCAGCGCCTACAAGACAGCATGAATACTTCTCGCATTACGCCAAACCAGACGAGCTAATACGTGGGTACCTATGCTTCAACTCTTTATTTTACATTTAAAGTATAAAGGGGTGGATTGTACCTTTAAATTATAAAGGGGTGGCCTTAGCTGAGAAATGAAAAACAACGTTCTATAAAACTAAACATAACTTATTGTATATTTTTTAATGTGCGATACTAATCAATCTAATAACACTCATGATCAGAATGTTTTGTATGACTAGAATAATTATGACAATTACTACGATCCTAATGCTCAGCCCTTACGTACTGGTTCGAAATAATTTTATCAGAATAATTTGAGATTTAACAGATCACGCACCTTACATTTATATTATATAAACATTTGGAACAATTTAGGCGTATGAGATTGGCTCATGAATACGAGAGCCAGTCGCGTAGCGTGCTTTGCGATACATCGATGGATCGGTCATTTAAACCTATGGAAAAGAATCGATAACTAGAGTGTTCGTAACGAACACCTTAATAATCGATTCTTTACTATGGCTTCAAATGGGGCAATATCGATAATCGATTGTTCACGCCACGCCACTGATGAGAGCACGCATACGTCGTTGACTAGAGATTACAGAGTATTATTCAGTGGCGAGGCGTAAATGATCGATCATAGATTTGTCCCCCATTTGAATCTACGATAAAGAATCGAATATTATGTTCGTTACGAGCACCCTCTTTATCGATCCTTTTCCATAGGTTTAAATGGCAGATCAATCGACGTATCGAAAGCACGCAGCCACTGGTATTATCTTTTTTCGCTTCTTCTGATCAAGCCTCTTCATCGGAGAAATTCTGGAATTTATTTTATCAGGCAAAATGTATGTTAAATGCCTCTTATTTCTGACTGTGCCGCATTTTTCCTTAAAGTGTAGCACTCCTTTTCATGACCGATGAAAATGAAAATTTTTCAGTCGAATGAAGAAGACAAGAAATTTACGTCATCGTTGGGTGGTCAACTTGATTCGATACAGAAATGCGCTCGTTCTGCTCCTGAAAAAAGTCGAACATTTTTTTATCTCTTTGAAATATAGTCGAGGGGCTTGGAGGACAAGGCGCATAAGTGCAGTTCTTGAAAAAATTGAGATATAAATGATTTCAAGTAAAACTAGTCTTAATGCATTTTCTGTGAAAAATTCGCTCCCAAATTTCAATTTTTAAGCATCAAAAAGTCAGTTTGAAATGTCTTTCCGCCATAAGGATTCATGTGATTTCGAAACTTGAAACGTGTATTTCTCGAAATGGCAAAAACTGCATTTATGAGCCTTGTCCTCCAATCCCCTCAGTTGGACTACATTTTGACATTTGGAACCACAATTTCTGGCTCAGTTTAGAAACAACGTGTGTACCATTGGTTTCTCTATGCACATATACGTGCTTTTATGGAAGAGCCAGAAATTTTAGTTCCTAACTGTAAAGTGACGTCTACTGGATATAAAGAGCTTCATATCAGCGGCAGGATTGGGAATCGGAACCAAAGAACCAATTACCTTGTGTTTGATGGGCGGAAAAGGAACTGGTACCGAATTCTACAAAAGGGAATCAATTCCATCTTGCTTTCCAGATATTCTCCCAAATTTCAATTTTTAAGCATCAAAAAATCCGATTGAACTTTCTTTCCACCATAAGGATCCATGTAATTTCGAAACTCGAGACACGTATTTCTCGAAATAGCAAAAACTGCACTTATGCGCCTTGTCCTCCAATCCTCTCAGTTATTAATTGATGAGGTATTTTTAATACCGCTCGTAAACGTAGCCACGTTCCAAAGCAGTGGCGTGGCGTGCTTTACCGGCGATATATCGACTGATTTGCCATTTAAACCTATGGAAAAGGATCGATAAACAGGGTGTTCGCAACGAACGCCTTAATAATCGATTTTTTACCATACCTTTAATGGGGAAATGTCGATAGTCGATCATTCACGCCTCGCCAATTGATCCCTCGTGGGTGTGGAAAAAGGTTCACCGAGGCCTTGGATAAGCTTACAGGGTACAGTGAGTTTAATACAAGTGATAAATATCACTTGCCGAAGGCCGATGTCAATAAAAATGGAAATAGCGAGGAAGCGATAAAAATTTTCTAATATCCGCACTGCTGCTTGTTATAATTCGGAAGAAGCATGGATATGTGGCAGGTCTTTCATTTATTACCCTCATTCAAATTGACATTCTTTTAAGTCTCTGCGTTTAATCATTGATTTTGCCAGGTGGCTGCCGTGCTAAGGAAGAACGCCGTATGAACCTCTGAGAGTTGCCAAATTTCCCTTGATAAAATACATATTTTTGAGAACATTCATGCTTATTTTTCCTTGAAATTTTCAGATATTTTAGATTAACTTGCGTACAAAATAGTCAGCAAGTTTTGGAAAATAATAGCCGCAATTTTCCCAGCAAATTCGATTTTTTTCGGAGGAAACTTGGCAACGTTTGAGGGCTCGTACGACCTTCTTCCTTAGCACGGCAGTATTACACTTACCAAACTGACTTCGTATCGTAAGACTTGATCCAGCATTTTAATATAGTAGATGGCCATTTTCAAAGTTTTCACCTTGCTTATCCTCTTGCCCCTGTAAAAGTAAAGAAAGAAAAATCTTAAATCCTGGAGTTAAAATGTCTGCAATACATGTTTTACATTCAGTATACAGTATGCGAAGAGGCTGATTACTCCTAACTCGGCTTTCATATTTGTACGATGAAAAAGATTTGATCGGAAAAGAGGCAGTAAAATTGGCTCGGAGTGGATATGGATATTGCACAAAAGTATCTATTTGTCGAACGATTCACGGTTGAACCGCGTCGTTTGGTTCACGTTCATTTGTTAGAGGTCCCACGATTTAACGATGAGTCTGAAAGATTAGGCCCAATTACAAATTGTTGTGAGGAGCAGTGCTTCCCTGGCGTACATGCAGATAATCTTCATCTTTTTCCTCTTGTGGAACTGGTGAATTGATCGACAAACCCATACATCGATGGAAGCCTGTAAATCGATCGACAAGCCGGTGAAGCGATCGACAAATCTTTAAATTGATCGACAACCCCGTATATCAATCTACAAACCTGCAAATCAATCGACAAACCTGTGAATCGATAGACAAACCCGCAAATTAATCGACCGGAAAAGCCATCATGAATCGGTCGAAAAACCTGCGAGTCGATCTACAAACCCATGAATTGATTAACAAACCCAAAATTCGATCGACAAACCCGTAATTCGATCGACAAACCCGTAAATCAATCGACAATGCCATGGTGTTGATCGGTTCAAGTTTTTAATTTCCGATCGATTCATGCCGATCGAATCAATCCTCTCCCACATTTCCGTGCCGCCTAACGACAAAAACGTTCGTGCGGTCTCCGGGACTTGGTTGAAGCGAGCAAGGAAGCAGTGGCGATTCTTTCATGTGGACGTATTCCTGTCGAACAGAACTAAGCGCCAATTTGAGTTCCTTTTGAGGAATTTAGAATGCCGGATAGCGCGTTCTGTCAAACGGAACTAAGCGCCATAGAAAAGCATTTCGAGTATAGGACGGAATGAGCCCGACGTTCGGTTCCTCCGCCAATCCAAGCCCCTCCTCTACCTTCCGCCCCCTCTGGAGCTTAGTTCTGTTTGACAGAAATACGTCCAAGTCGGCAACACTGTTTTTCCTCTATCTAAATGTACGCAAACACTGAACAAAAAGTTACGGGCTAAGTATACAGAAAGCCCTAAAGCCCTCAAGGCCGAGAGTTCTGAGTGCTGAAGCCGTAGCTTTGACTGCTCCGGATGCTACACCCAGAACTTTCGGCCTCTGAGTCTGAGCTCGGAACGCGAACGGTGTTTCTACATAGCCCGTAAGTACAGCCTCCACGACTGGAGATTTTTTTAAAGTTTCTGGGCGAGGCTGCTAGTCTCACCGAATATCGATATTTTCAATGGATTTAAACGGAGGAAAAACAGTTTTGCCAGCTTGTAGGATCACCATTGCAAGGAACGAAACAACACCGCGACGTTGGAGTTGGAGCAGAGCGCGCCTCGGCCGACTCGGCGATTGATTTAGGAGACAATGGAACCTGTCGGCGTGTCTGGTCCGGTCGGCGCGTGTTGTTTCCGACTTGGGCTCCCTGCGCCCGCGCCTTCCGCCATCGCGCCGACGCACAGAGGATCGAGTCGATGGAAGAGTTTGGACATGCCTTTTCGGACTAAAATTTATCTCGTTTTTAAAGGGTGTTTCCAGTTGAATTTTGACGGGAAACCCCACGGAATCGCTCTTTGAACATAAAAATTTCATAATGATGAAGGTAACAACAGGACGGCGTGGACGTTCTGTGAAAGGTTGGCGACAAGGGGTGGAGGAGGAGATCAGAAGGCGCCAATTGAATGATGATCTCTGAAAGCTAGGATAGGGGGCAATGGCGATTGGGCGTCCATTCTGATGAAATAAAATGTGACAAAGAATTATTTCATCCTCCTTTCCGCTGATTTCGATTCACTATCCCCGCTTTACAAAATGGAGACTAGACAAATAGACGGATAATAAGGCAATTAAGTGGTCCAAAACCGCCAACAAACAATTTTAGGTAATTTTGGCAACACTGCAATGTGTTGGGCTCCTTATTTTTCACATCGATTCATGGAACTCAGTGTAAATTTTATTATCTTTACTTAATTTGTCCAGAAATTACTCTGCGGACGGATAAAAAAGGAGACATAAAGCAAAAACCGTAAAAAAACCCCGCAATTTTCGCTCATTTTTCAAAGTTTGGCGCCCGCCAGCGCACTTAATTTTGCCCGTAGGCAAAAATTGTTTGGGACCTCTTTTATAGGAAATTTAACGAGCTTTATTTCTGAAAAACTACTTTTGTCGTCAGATCAATTTTTAACGAGTTACAGGCCATAATCCGCAAAAAACGCAATTTTCACTCATTTTTCAAAGTTTGGCGCCCGCCAGCGCGCTTAATTTTGCCCTTAGGCAAAAAATGAATAGGATCTCTTTTATAGGAAATTTAACGAGCTTTATTTCTGAAAATAACTAATTTTGTCGTCAGATCAATTTTTGGCGAGTTACAGGCCATAATCCGCAAAAAATGCCGATTTTAGGCCATTTTTGCCAAATTTGGCAACTTTCCGGTCCGAATTTAATGGCGCATAGTTGATATTCGGATTCAGCGTCAAAAATTACATAGGAATCGATGAAAACATTGCTACCCGGGATTTTTGCAGGCTCTTTTCCTTGTTTGCCTGGACTATAGCGGCTTGTTATGTATGTATGTAAATCTTTAAAATAATCAATTTTTAAATCTTGTATTTCTTTAAATGTTTTAGATTTTTTTCGTTTTTTCGTTTCTCCAGCAGAAATTTTGATGGGAAAACCAATAAAACCCCTCTTGGAACATCCAAATTTCATATTGATGAAGATATACCAGATATTTCATGTCCGTCAAAACTTCCGGGATTCGGAACTTTTTTGTTCCAATTTCTCCCACTCCATAACCGTCAATTGAACCAATTGATGCGATATATCGCATGCCGTTCTGACACAAAATATGGCGTCCATCGAATTACCTTAAAGTTTTTAAATCATCTCCGAGCTCTCGCTCGGACTCGATCCACTGTGCGGCGCGACCCAACGTGGAAGTCCGCTCGCCTCGCGAGAGTTGCGGGCCTCGTTTCCTGATTTTGCGCTGCGAGTCCGGACGTCGGACGTCGCGCGACGGCAGCGCCGTTGCCAAGTCTCTGCCGCCGCCGCGCCGTCGCCGCGATCACTGGGTCAGTGTGAGCTAGGTCAGTGAGAGGAAAAAAAAGACGCTCAACGCTTAGTCTCTTGTTGCAGTCAGCGGCGTTCTCTGCGTGTGCGAGAAGGCGCAACACTGGAAAAAAACACATTGGATCCAGAGTCCAGACTCTTGGAAATATTTACAAGAAAAAATACTCTTGATTCAATCAGATTTCAGCTTAAATCAAAAGGAAATCCGCTCAAGTTAAGAGGCTTGGTTCTTGATTTAAGCTTAAATCTGATTGAATCAAGAGTATTTTTTCTTGTCGATGTTTTTAAGAGTCTGGACTCTAGATCAAATGTGTTTTTTTTTCCCAGTGAAGCGAATCCAGCGGACTAATACATTGAAATTGATGGACAAAGCTAAAAACAAAGAAGACATAGGAAGCATGGAGCGATCCTTTCAGTTTAAATGGGTTGTTCCTGTAGACTAGGGAAGAAAATGATGGACTAACTATCGAGTCCCTCGTGGGTTGCCGTTAGTTAGTCTATTACCTACCTCATTTACCCATTTCAACCACCCGCTTCCACTATTAGGGCCCTCCATATCTCTTTTGTCTTTTTTGTCCGTAGCTTTGTCTATCAATTTCAATAATCGGCCCGCTGGTACCAAGTTTCGATCGATCGGACAGGATCCCCATGCCGTGGGTGGGATCAGTGGGACCGTTCACGTTTGTAAACCATACCAGCCAATTTAAATACTTTAGTGCGCCTTCATTTTCGTCTGATACTGTGCAATACTTCTGAGGCAGAATAGTTGCTCTGAGCGCCTTCAACAGTTTCGCTTCGACTTGATGGTGATGGCGGTAGATCAAGATTACCTGAGAATTCACTGTAGCGAAAGTGCAGTTACACATTTTCTCATCACCGACGATGAGATGAAAAACATCAATATCACAACTTGTGACGTCACAATTGCGTATAGGTTGCCGTTGGTTAGTCTATTACCTCCCTCTTTTGTCTTTTGCAACCAGCCGCTTCCACCAATAGGATCCCACCGTATCTTTTTTGCATTCTTTGTCTACAGCTTTGACTACCAATTTCGCGAGTTTTTGCGATGTATTGATTGATCTGCCATTTTTACTAATGGAAAAGGATCGATAGTTATCGGGTGTTCGCAACGAACACTTTAATAATCGATTCTTTACCACAGCTTCAAACAGGGAAATACCGATAATCGATCATTCACGCCTCGCCATTGATCGAGATACTTCGAACAGAAGGGGGCGGATGGATGGGCCGGAGGGCTTCCCTCAGGAAAATATCGAAATTTTAAAGCATCTAACATTGGGCTCGGATCAATTTTGTCATGACTAATTACAAAATATAAACGTCCTTTCTTCTTCTTTCCTCAGTTTTTTCCTTCTTACTTTCTCCTCCTTTCTTCCTCTTTTCTTCCTCCTTTTTTACGGTCGAACGAGAGGGGGGTGTGCGCCACCTAACTCCCCTTCCCCCCTCTGGATTCGCTTATGCGATGAGAAAGCACCAGCACTGCTTCCTACATATATAACAAAAATTTGGGATTGGCCTTGGTCTGATAGACTCAGATTGTGGGACTTTTAATATGTGTCAAGTGAGGATGCAGTATAAATCGGAAGAGGAAGAAACGAAGGAGAAAAAGAGGACGGAGGAGAAAAAGAAGAGGAAGGAGAAGGCGAAAAAGAATAAACAATGAAGAGGAATTGAGATAGAAAGTGGAGGAGCAGAAGAAGAATAAGTTGATTGAAAGAGGAAGAAGAGGGAAAAGAGGAGAATTTTTGAAGAAGACATTTTTGTTTTTGTTTTAGGGGGATACTTGCAGAGCTTCCCAAGCCCCCGCAGTCTACGCACCTATTCACCGGTGCGTTTTCCGACTGAAAGTTTCTAAATAGTCGATCTATGAGGTCTTCCACCGTGTTTTTTTCAAAGGCGGCAGCCAATGCTGGGCGTAGAAATTGGACTTTGGACAATTTTTTTCATTTTTTGTTCTTGTATTCAACCATTTTCTAGCCGGAGTCCTGTGTCATTAGCTGTTACGGTACTATAGTATCCACCTCCCGAACGATATACATTGGCAGTTACGTGACAACAATTGAATACAATAATAGTATACAATTCTAATATTTACGGTTACAATTTTATGCTGAAATTGGCAACAGGGCGCGGCAATGGGGTGTTCGCATAAATCCATGTGTCGACAAGCCGCGCTGCACTATCCGATCAGCGAGGAATCGACCTAGCCCCCCTCCCCGATCCCCCAATGTACTTTAATTGCACTGTTGCAAGTTCGGATTCATGGATTATATAATTGTATGTAAAGTCTAAATGCATGCTTGCATAATTTCATGCTCATCTACATGCAGGGCTGTATAAAAGTCTTATGTACGGTTCTTCAGGAAACAATCTTCTTATTGTTTGACATAATGAAATAAAAGAAGAAGAAAAGGGATAAAAAGAGGAAAAAAGAAGAAAAAATAAAAAAAGAGGAAAAAAGAGAAGAAAAGAGAAGAAAAGAGAAGAAAAGAGAAGAAAAGGGAAGAAAAGGGAATAAAAGAGAAGAAAAGAGAAGAAAAGAGAAGAAAAGGGAAGAAAAGGGAAGAAAAGGGGAGAAAAGAGTATAAAACAGATTAATTCCACAAATGGGCCGTTTATCAGAAAGGAACCAACCCACATTTTCGAAGAAAATGAGTTAATAATGTTTTTGAGCTCCACTAGCCATATGTCATCTTCTGCCAAAGACTGAAAGTTTAAAAAAATATTTGTTTGAGAAAAGAAGGGTTAAAGTTCATTTTTTACATTGAGCTTTATGCAGAAATAAAACTTCAAATAAGGAACCTCTTTTTCTTAATTTCACCTTATTGTGGGTTGATTCCCTTCTAATGAACTCATTCCAAATATGACAGATTTGTCCGGAATTATTACTTGGATCTTGCTCTTTTCCTCTCATGTTTAATTTTTTTAGCAGAAAACTAACCTGTTGAGCGCCTTTTAACTTTCTGTGAATTAACATGAATAATAATGAACTTACAAAATTTCAAGTTTCAAAGTTACTTGGTTTTCTGTTTAAAAATAAAACATCGTAGAACATTGGGCAACGTCCGATTAACTTGGGTTGATTCGGCAATTTCGGCTAAGTATCCCTGGTAAAAATTGGCAGTAGAATCTGTGTTCCAAAATACCATAGACCTACGGCCGGCTGTAAGATTTCTAATAGCTTCTATAGCCGGCTACACAATTTCTTATAGCCTTTTATAGCCGATGGCGATTAAGCAACTCACAGCCAGGCGATAAAGTATATGCCAAACGTCACTAATTACGGATGCTAGGACTTAGTGAGTTTCTGGACCACTGCTTTCTTTTTTGGCCGTAGTATCTTGATTTATTTTGCGAGGAAAGCTCCGTACTTTTGATGGATGCCAGCCATTCCCAATATATTAGAGCGCCCTCAGTTTCGTATGATAGTGTGCAATACCTCCGGTGTGAAATAGTTGCTTCAAGCGCTGTGGCACGCTGCGGTGCGGCAGGCGGGCAGCCAGCGCGAAACGCGCATTGGCGCCTTCAAATCTAACAGGGATACTTCACGCATTGCGCAATGCGTGAAGTATCCCTGTTAGGTTTGTAGGCGCCAGTGCGTCGCCGCTCCGCTTTGTGTTAGGCTCTAATATTTAATCTGGCGGAGTCAGCGTTATTCAACTAATGATTTTGAAATGTTTGCACATCCTGTATGGATTATTCTCGTTTTAATTGATGAAAAAAAATATGTTTTAAAGGAAAAGATAACGTGTGTTTTGTATATATTAAGGTGGCTCCGTATCAAACTTAATGATTTCCAAAGCACACGAATTTCTACAAAATTTCCTATAGCCTTTTATAATCGATGGCGATAAAGTGTAAAGCCCGGTGATATGAACTATAGCCCGGCCGTATGATTTTCTCCGCATTCTACGGCCAGCTATATGGTTTTCTGTAGCCTTCTATAGCCGGCTATAAGAATTCCTATGGTATTTTGAAACGCAGCTCTTATCGCCAATTTTTACCAGGGATGACCAATTATTAACCGCGAAATACATCTCGAATGGAGCGAAGAAAGGACCAAGGATAGATGAAGGCACGTTCCGGAGAAACTGCGCTGGACGTAGTTTTGAGCTTGAGTTGTGCATTTTCTCGTCAAAAATTCCTAGTTTAATACACACTAATGTTAAGTACAAGCTTTAAGTAGCTCTTAATCAGATCTTCCGTTCGCTAAAGAAATCCAATTTTGAATCGATGAGAAGTTCATACATTTCAATTAGTGGTGCAGGAAAAATGCTCTTCATTACACAATAACAAAATTAGCATCTTTGAAAATGTCGAAAATTTTGCTTGAAGAGAGGTTTAAAAGCACAAATGACGAAAAAGTGAATAAAAAGTATCGACTTCTTCGAATTCATCTTGCAGCAAATCATAGAGGAAAGTAATATGTATACATGTAATTATTTTTCTTTTTGTCTTTTACTTTTTATTTGTCATTTGCTCTCTATGAAGGAAAAGTGAGCAGGAGTTCTTTCGAACCGTGAAAAACCGCGATGGATATCAAGTCACAAGGCCGAGCCAAAGCGACCAGCACTCATCGCACATCCCGATAAGTAAGCGTCAGAGCAGTCAACGCGCCTGCAATTTTTGGGTATGCAACACAGCTATCCGTTAAGTTAGAATAGTTGTATTTACGCCTTGCTACGCAACTGACAATGAGCGTTGTCGTCGCGTCCACGTCTCCTATGGTAATGGTGTGTGGTACGTCTGCGTCCGCCGCTAGGGATATTCCGATGAAAACCAGCTTTTTCTCGGCTTCAAACTTTACGCAACTGGGCACCTCAAACTCGCTTGAAATCGCTTTTTTTTTTTTTAAAAAAAAAGGTGAAATTAACGGACAGATCGAAATATGAAGCTCTCGGGGCCCAAAAGGGCAGCAAACTGCAATCAACCTTCTGACACAAAAACTGTCACTGCCAGAGTGCCAGTCTTCAGATTCCAATAGCAAACCGAGATGGCCAAAAATTTTCATAAACGAGCGTTTTTCTGCAAAAATGAATAGGTTTACGCAAAGCTAAGTCAAATGCGTGCTTTACTAACTACGGATCGTAACAACAGAGAATTTGGAAGTGTCTGAAATTTGATAAATTTCGTGTTTAGGTGGAAACTACTGAGTCAAATGAACACGAGGACACCCTTGATTTATGAATTGAACAAAATTATTGGAGAAGATATGACAAAATGATCAAATCTGCTAAAATACATGTGTTTAAATGGGAAATGCAGCCAGATGAGCACTAGGCGGTGCATTTTCTCACTTTTAAATCTATGTTTTTACTATTTCCCATTTCAGAAAAAAATTATAAAAAACAATGTAAAATCAGCTCTGAGGGTGCTTTAAGCACCCTCAGATTAAGCAAAAAAACGTTTGCACGCAAATTCTCCATTGTAATACAACAAATCACTCTGGGTGATTTGAATTCATAGGTCGACCACCCTTTTTGGCCCTAAAGGCTCCATGACCCAATTTCAAAATTACCGACATATCCGTAATCGCCCTATATAGACACCTACTCTGGGAGGCAGTAAACGTCTTTTTGGGAGGTTATTTAGGCTATTCAGTCGAAAATGACATCGTGTTCGACGTCATGACCAAACAACTTGTTTGGTATGGTCATGTCAATAGGATGACGGAAGAGAGGCTGCCAAAAAAGATGCTTGATTGGGTTCCTCCTGGGAGGAGGCGTAGGGGACGCCCAGTGAGAGGTTGGCGACAGGGGGTGTTAAGTGAGATGAGGGAGTGTCAACTCCCTGATAACCTGTGGGAAGACCGAGCTTTGTGGCGATTAGGTGTCGCAAAGCGCCAAAGAGCGCTATAACAGCGACTCGTATGTATGTATTTAGGCTATTACCTGTGACTGTCAGCCGGAATGGTTTTCCTCAACTTTGCGAAGGCTCCGTTCACGGCTTGGACTCTGCGTCTTTCTCTTGCGTTTCTTTTTGCAATGATTTGCAGAGCAGGTTTTTTCTCCATTTCCTCGCCGATCTTTTTCAATTTTAACTTTCTCCTAGCCTCAGGACCTTCGCGATTCGGCCGCTGCTGGCTCCAATAATTGTGAATTTTGTTCATCTGAAAACTAAAAACGTTTATTTACAAGTAAGAAACGCTATACTTGCAGTTTTTACAGAATATTTTTCATAGAGGGGAAATATGAGGGAAATTTTCAAGAAATGACGTCGAGTAATTTTCCACTTCAGAACCCAAGTAGCAGTGATCACGCCTAAGTTCCGATTTGATCGGAGAATGTACGGCGATTTTATCGACAACGATTTATTGCAATATTATCGGATGGAAAACTGCAATAAAATGCAATTTCATCGCATAAATTTGTAATAAAATCGCAACTGTATCGACGGCGATTCATCGCAAAATATCAAACGAAAAATTTTGATAATTTGAGATTAAATTTTAATTTTATCGAACGCGATTTTATAGAGATAAAACTGCAACAAGATTGAGGATAATCGCTCAGATGTTGATGGTCCTGGCGATTTTATTGCCAAAAAATCGTAAAAAATTGCAATTTAATTTCAATACATCGCAATTTTTCCGTTGGAAAATGCTACTTGGGAAGCATAGTAAAACAGGAGGCTGGCAACGTCGCAAAACGAAATAAACGTCCCTGTCATGCATTAACAATGGTAAACACATCTGCAAAAATTTGATGCAACTTAGTATAAAGCTCCAGTGCCAAAATAATCAATAGTTCAAGGTTTCATGAACTTACCTGGGAATATGTTCGTCGTGATTTCAATTTTTGAAACTTCTCTTCCACACCGTAATTACGTTGTCGTTACTCTCTCGGAATAAGTCTACAGGAGCAGTAAACTCTATTGGACAACATGCCTCGCTTTTCATTGAAAAGACTGCCGAAGGCTAAAAATTAAAACCATCATGAGCTGTTCGAGGCGACTGACTTGTGATCGGGGTGCAATGACTGTGAAGGAAAGAGGGCCAAGTGTGGACAACCAACATACCCGCATGTACCTCTCATTTGGGGACACACATGTTTCCCGACTTAAAATATGCTCCTAGGTCTTGACACACCTGCGCTTACCGTGCCAAGGAAAAACGCCGCATGAGCCTTCCGACGTTGCCAAGTTTCCTCCTATAAAAATCGAATTTATTGGGAAAATTGCAAATATTATTTTCCAAAATTTTCTGACTATTTTGTACGCAAGTTAATCTAAAATACCTATCTGAAAATTTGAAGGAGAAATATGCATGAATGTTGTCAAAAATACACGTTCTAACAATGGAAATTTGGCAACTCTCAAATGTTCATACGGCGTTCTTCCTTAGCACGGCAGTGCGAGCGTTCGACTTTTGATAGGAGTCATTACGCTGCCCGGCTGAGGAAAAACGCCGCATGAGAACTTGACTGTTGTCAAATCTCCTCTGAAAAATTACGATTCTCCTGGGAAACAAAGCAGCTAGGCAATTTTACTCTGAATTTTTCAGGGAATGTTTTTTGCATTATTAAAAATAGTTAAGACATTTTTCGGAAAATTTATAATGATGCTATAAATGGCAGTAATACTTTAAGTTACTGACACAATCAGCAACGCTGAAATTAATATAAGGTGAAAGAGAAGTCATATCATATTTACCATTTATCAAATTATCAGCAATTGTCGAGTTGGTCTCGCTTTCCTCCTTTATTTGTGTNGGGGGGGGGGGGGGGGGGGGGTCGGTAACGTGACGGGACAAGTCCCTGACCCTCTGGGATTTCCTCTACTTTACCGAGCCTGTGAGTGGCGGTCTCGTGAAATTGATGACTTAGTCTACAGGCAAAATAAAATTAAAAACAACGCAAATGTCAGGAGACTTAAACGCAAAGCTAGAAAAGTAAAGCAGCGCCAGTGCTTGATTGAAATAGTGTAGCGTAAAAATTACCTATGACTAATCTGGAATCAATATTGTTGTTTTATTCTTATTCAAATAACGCCCCTGCAGGGAGTTGTGACGTATTAAGTGTGGAAAATAATGTATAATTTCAACATAAATGCTATTATTTAAGGAAGGTACAATGGGACATACTATGAAAAATGTGATATAATTTAATCCGTCAAAAAGCCCTAAGCGCCAGAAATGAGAATTCGAGGTAACAGTGAAAACTGTTTAAATCGGCCCGTTTTAAATATTGGAGGTCAGAAAAATGTCTGTGCATTGAGCAAGAGGATTGCAATTTAAAATCGGATTGCGATTGTTTCAGAAGTTCCCCTACAATTTGAACGGAAAAAGAAGAAAAACGTGAATTGGCGCTTGAGTCTTTCTGAGAGTGAACTGAATTATTCAAAGTATTTTCCCAATTTAAAGTCGAATTTTTAGTATTTCAAGCCGTAATGTGCACGAAAATATTCATTCAAATTTTCTCTGCGTAAAATACTATGATAGTATACTTGCTGATGATCGCTTAAAAAGCAAAAACTTAAAAACAGAGACACATTCGGCCTGAAGGAATAAATATTTACCCCTTTAATCTGAAACTTTGAGATTTGACTAGTTTGGCTCCACCAGGATCAGTTAAGTTCTACAAACTTTAGCCAATAGATGTTACTCGCTGCTTAAGAGATGCAGTTTTCACAGTTTCTGTCTTAATTCTCATTGGCATTGGCTTGCTCATTGTTATGGCAGGATTACATCAATGAGTTAGCAGTAAAAATTAATTCACGAAATTGGGGAAACTTCCCACAAAATTTTCATTATAATTGAGGACACCGCACCAAGAACAGCCGCTATCCGGATTATTGTTTTGCATAGTTCCTATTATTATGTTTTATTTCCTACCATTTGTTTGTTTTCAATCCTCCTATAAAAACTACTCATTTGCTGAATACACTTCTGGCTGGAGCGCATTTTAGCTATGCATTCACCACTGCAAAAATGTCAAAGGAAATCGACAAAGCCAGCGTGTATACTAGGCTATTTCGATTGTAATCTTCCGTCGCATTTCTTAGGGGCAATGATACAACTATTTGAACTCTCCGGAATGCGTGAGGTATCACGCCGCATTTGAAGGCGTTTCCAAAACAACCAAGCTCCGATGTCCGGATTTTTGTTTTGCAAAGTTCCTATTATTATGTTTTATTTCCTACCGTTTGCTTGTTTTCAATCATCCTATAAAAATTACCCATTTGCTAAAGACAATTCTAGCTGGAGCGCACTTCAGCTATGCATTCATCACTGCAAAAATACCAAAGGAAATCGACAAGCCCAGCGTACATGAGGGCTATTTCAATTGAAGACACCGCACCAAGAACAGCCTACAACTTGAAACCGCGTTTTGAGAAAAACGCATTTAAAGCTTTGTTTTTTATGTACTGCGCAGACTTTTCTATGCAGGCACCCTGTTTTGGTGTTTTTGGGTGACCTAACCCTTCTATTGAAAGATGCCGGGTAGATTTTGCCATACATTTTGGGTTTACACTGTAATATATTTAATTTAAAAAAGCGGCCATTAGGCCATTATTACACACAACAGTCATTTTGGTGGCAATATGAAGTATAAATCATTTTAATCATGCANGAAATCGACAAGCCCAGCGTACATGAGGGCTATTTCAATTGAAGACACCGCACCAAGAACAGCCTACAACTTGAAACCGCGTTTTGAGAAAAACGCATTTAAAGCTTTGTTTTTTATGTACTGCGCAGACTTTTCTATGCAGGCACCCTGTTTTGGTGTTTTTGGGTGACCTAACCCTTCTATTGAAAGATGCCGGGTAGATTTTGCCATACATTTTGGGTTTACACTCTAATATATTTAATTTAAAAAAGCGGCCATTAGGCCATTATTACACACAACAGTCATTTTGGTGGCAATATGAAGTATAAATCATTTTAATCACGCATGATTAACGCAAAATGAAAGAATATCGATAGTGAGTAAAGAAAGGGGTAACTAGCACCTTATAGGCCCTTAAGTTTATAGGCCCGCCTGTAGGTCGTTCTTGCACCCATCGATCCAGTGGCCTGACTTAACTTGGAAAAAAAGGTTTTTCGACCTCGAGCCGTTACCAATCTATATTCTATCGCTACCACAGCATAGTCCAGGGTACGTAGAATCCGAAAAGCAAATGGGCGTAATAACGACCTATACGCCTATAGGCTGTTCTTGGTGCGGTGTCCTCAATTGCGATGTACAAGTCATGAGGCGCCACATTGTGATTTTGTTTCCATGGTACCTATCTTTGGTGGTTGAACCCAGAGGTCGACCAGATCAATGTCACAGGCCACTGCTAAAAATATTCTATTCCTCCAACATTAAACACATTACTCAAAACAGCTGTTCTGCACTGCGTTTCTCGCTGTAAGTTTCTGAGAATACCCATTCTCAATTTTAAGGCAATGCTTGAATCATGCAGCGGCCTTACGTGAGAAAAATATGAGGGGAACAGAGACTTCATATTAAGACAAATACTTATGTGGAAAAATTTATTTTGTTTCTAGAATAATTCTTTGATCAGAATTAACACACAAAAAATCAAATTTAATATGAAATAAGTTCAACAGAAGTCAGACACAAGGCTGAATTTCTACAATTGTTGGTTCTCATAATTTACAATATAGAAAATTAAGTGAGAAATAATTAGGTAGAAAATTACGTTTCAGTAAACGATGGTAAATCTTTCAAGAGCTTGACAAGAGGATACAGGAGTATTCATTATATTTATCATGAAGAAACTGTTGGCGGAGAGAGTTTAACTTAATTTAATATGCAAGTCAATTTTTAGTCATGAAATCAAACAGAACTTCTAATTTTTAACATTTTTTTTAAAAAAAAACAACTCACATATAAAAATAAAACACACATCTCTCATATTAAAGTTAACAATAAAAACAGAGAGAATTCATAAACAGAAATATTATTAAAAAAGTAAGCAAAATAAAAAAAAATAAAAAATGTGATCGAAGGAAAAGGAGTTAATGACAGTTTAGTAATCTGCGCTATCCGGAAGGAACTTAAGCAAATATACACGAGCTTAAAGCTCTGTAGGGAAAGTTTTACATCATCTGCCTTGACCTCTGAAAAAATTTATTCCGACCAGAACTCAAATTAAAAAAAAACTCAGAGCTCAAAAAACACTTGATAGTAGGTATAAACTATCAAGACTGTCCAAATAAATTCATGCCGAGCATCTCTACTTGGGCTGAGGATAAAATCAGCATTCAAATAAATATTTTAATTTTTTGACTTTTCTTTACTTGTTTTGAGATTTTGAATATGGATACAAGTTGTAAAGAGCACAAAATTTAAACAGATTTTTTTTTAATTTTCTTGCAAAATGTATCTATCAACAGCCTAAGTCCGCAAGCACATTCCTCGTTTGCAGTGTCTAAAAATCTTCGCCTCTGTTATTTTTTTTGAAAGAGAACAAATTGACATCATTCCTTGAAGTTTATGCAGAATTTTCTTTGCACAGAGAAGAAAAATCACGGCAGTTTCAAAGAATTGCCGTTGAGTAGTTTTCCATTAAAAAATGAAGTATGACAAAAAGTCTGCGACGTCCCAAACCGAGTTATGTGATTGCCGACTTACAGCATCAATATTCTTAGTAGATCGGGAATCAGGATGGACAAAATTAATTGTGTAAGAATAATAGAAAAGATTGCACAGCTCTTGAGACTTGTTAGACAAGGTTACTTTGAACCAGTCTATTCCTTTTAAGCAGCAAAAAACCACTAAAATGGGCCAGTATTTCTAGTTACTTTTTTGGTCCCAGTGCATCCTGGACAGATTGTACCGTTGCCCTGTTGCCATTCTCGTAGGCAACGATTGTACCAATCACTTACCGACAGGGAGCAACCTGAACAACACAAATGTTCACAAGTTGAAATAACTTATGCTGCTGATGCATTTGGTGCAAGTCATAGTCACCATATCTGACACTTAACTAATTGAAATTAACCTTAAAAGTAGGGTTTGCTCTCTTATTTATTTTATTTGTACTCTCTTTACAATTTTAGACTAAGTATTAATTGTCGATAGAGCCGTTGATTGTTGTTATCGTCATTGTCAAGTTAAGAGTGTCATGCACAGAACTCAGCTGTAAAGCAGGGCTCTCTGGCAATAAAGAAGAGTCACAATTCAATAGTCAGCAGGAAAAAATCCACCCCCATTCCACATTTTTCAGCATGAAAGCGTTGTGTTTAAAACAAAAAATAAAAAACTGAAGCAATTTTCTGATTCTACATTTTCAGGTTGTGTAATTTATGGCAAGATGCAACTACAGTTATACCCCAATTATCATACATGGCAACAAAACAATATTGAAAGTATTCATGAGTAACAAACAAACTTAGGTTTCAGGACATGACAACGTTAAGTTCAGGAGACAGCCGGACATTGCTGTAGGGAAAAAATTAGATTCACAAAAACAGAAAGAATCACGTCATTTTCTGTCAGTAAAGTGAGTTTTCGTTTTTTTCAAATACATATTTTACATTGTTCACGTCGCTTTGATTGAATTTCATCGTATCCAGTTTTTCTCTCACCACAGATAGTTAGATGATCGGGGTAATAGTGTACACTGAAAATGAGTGAGTTTTTGTATAATTAGTTGTCTCAAAAAAAAACTGAAAAATGTAAAATAAAGTGACACTATTCTTCCTGAGCATGGCAAATTTACACATAATCTTACAACAGATTTTGATCTGAACGAAAAATGAAAGTAAAATTGAAATATATCTATAGATTAACACTTAACTTTAATCACATATCCTAACACTAAAAATGATCAACTCTTCACTTGAAAGGAAGAGATATTTTCATAATTGCAAGAAAAGTTTTCATTAGGTAGCACCTTTCTGTACATTTAATAATCACATGAATATCAATTAATTCTGAATGGGGCCCTTTACAGCCTTTTAATAACCAGACAAACGTGTACGAAGATATTGTTACTTGGTTCACTAGCTTTGTAGAGCTTGACTTAAAATAGGAAACAGTTCTGCTTTGGTTGGGACATTTATAGAAGAACTGGATAAAACGCTGAAATTTTATCCTCTCCTGCAAGAAGGAATGTTCCTCGATGCACTGTTTCAGCATATCTTACTAACATTTTATTACTTAATGGGAAAACAGAGGGTTATGCCTGAAATTTCCAATGATTTTTCAGTAGGCATGTATGAGAAGATATGATTCTTCCATGAAAAAATAAAATGTTTGTAGAAATACTGAAATAGTTCAGGTAAGATATGTTCCTATGTGCAGGAAATGACAATAAGACCAATGAGAAAATTCTGAGACCTTGCTTTCAACAATTTACTTGGAATTTTTGGAAATTAGAGGGATCAGCAGAGTGAAATTTTACCATTCAAATGACAAACTATCAAATACAACATAATTTCGGCTAGGTTTAGCATTTGATACAAATAGAGGAGCATTTTCAGCAGAAAAATTGCCTTCATTTTGCGAAGATTCCCAAACAAAAATTTCAGGCACGTCCTCACTCCTCACTACGAAACGCAAGTAAGTTTGACTTTTACGAATTATAAAAAAAAACCCTTTTGTTTACAGAGTAAGGAACTTCAAAAACCTAAAATAACAACAAAAGAATCATGTTGGTTCTTGCATTTCAAGGACAGTGGACTCATAGACAAAGAGAAAATACAGCGATCTTACTGGCTGAAATGTATGGTTGTTACAAACTAAGGAAGGAAATTATGGACAAACGATAGAGTTTCTCATGGGTTGCTGTTAGTTAGTCTATTACTTGCCTCTTTTGTCCATAGCAACCACTTGCTTCCTCTAACATGATCACTCCATTTTCTCTTTGTCTCTTTTGTCTATCAATTTCTATAATCACCCTTCCGGCTTCCTAACCAAGACAAATTCCCAGGCTTTTTCAACAAACAGTCTGCTCACAAGTGTCAAAGAGAAGAAGTAATTTTGAAACTCAATTTTAAGTTAAACATCTCAGCTATCACTTTCCTTTTCCAGAGTTAAAATTTACGAAAATCTTTGCTCAAGCTGTTTTTAAAAAGGATAAGGAAAATTTCCAGTCTTTTTTAATGAAATTCCCTGTCATTTTTGCACTGACTGTTTTCTAATGTTTTCTTGATTTGACAGCCCTGTAGGTACTCTGCGTGCCAAGGAGAGCAGGAAAGCTGAAGACCAAACTAAATATTTACGGACGACGTCTATAAATGAAGTGACCCACTAAGGTGTTAGAGAAAAATTAAGGAAGCAGGAAATGATTCCCGCAACCCCCTAATGACCCCAAAGATAGAGTGATTTTGTAAAAAAAATGCAAATTTATTGATGGCTGTCATGGAGGAGAGGAAATTTACCAAGAAAGAGATTTTTGGAAAAAAAAAAAAAAAAAAAAAAAAAAAAAAAAACATGGCTCTGCATGCACCATAATGGACTGTACATTGCTTTTTAAATTTCCTCCAAAGACGAATTCTTTCTACTTGATGATATGCAGCTGTTTTTCAAGAGCCAGAATAGCTACAAATGGCCTGTTAAAACTTAGCTTCCTGTGTATAAAATTTAATAGCAGAATATAAATAGTGAACCTCGTCCCTATTTGGCAAGAATACTTTGCAAGAAGACATTGATTCCTGATAAGAAAAAATATGAATTGAAAATATAGAGAGCCAGAAAAGGTTGAAAAATTGGCAATAAAATGATCACCACTGAGGCTGTACTTTTACAAATTCAATGTTAAAATTCCAACTTTTAACCAATTAAGGTAACAATAACACAGAAAAGTAATCATAGAAAAGCAATCATAGAAAAGCTGCACTTCTTTTAGTGCTTGATGGTAATGAATTCATTCTACGCCAATCATAAATTGGTAGCTTCCCTCTGTTGAAAAGGTTTGAAAGTATTGGTTATCATTTTTCTTCTTATTCGTTCTTCTTCGACCATTAATTTTGAATGTAGTCACCACTTTAATTTTAAAGTTTGCATTACTAAGCTTTTTCTGATTGTTCAAACAATAGAGAGGTGAAGGCAAAAATTAAGAAGACGATGCCACCAATTATTGTAACTGAAACAAAGAAAGCAGAGTTAGTTTCTAATTGAACAAGATTAAATTATAGTGTGATCATTTGAGCATTGAGAAGCATATAGGGAGAAGGAACACCTAAAGATGGAGAACTGTCCGAAATCATTGCCGTTAAAAAATTGCAGTTGGGAAATCGAAATTATAAGAAGAGGCTATTTGAAATATAAACTGCCATGTTTAGAATAAAAGTTGCCCGATTATTATGTACCTGTGCACCTTCAATTGGAATCTTTATTAACACTTCTACTAAACTGATAGCAACATTATTCTTAAAAAAAAAAGAGATAAACTTTCGCGTACTCACTTACGCTATTTAACAATTTCATGGGACGTGTTTCGGGGTCGAACGCTACACGTCCAATAATATTGTTAAATAGCGTAAGTGAGTATGCAAAATTTTATCTCTTTTTTACAATATTGTCTAGTGACTGTCCCCTACAAAGGTTTCTATTATTCTTCAATATGAGTTTTTAGTAAAAATCTGAGGATATATTTTTTGCCGACTCAACAAAAAAATTCGTTCCATTGAAACAATTTCTTTCTTAGACTGAGGTTCTTCTTTCCATGGATAGCTACATATCAAAAACTGAAGTCTAAAAATATGTGCGTTCGATGGCACCGTTGCTCATCTCTACTCATGTCTTACTTTTTTGCGCGGTAACCAAACAACAAATTTTCTTACGATTTCCTGTGAATTTTCTTCACTCATTCCAAGAAAATCACATGAAATTGTTAAGAAAAATTCTGATTAGTTTTCGTTAAAAAAATAAAACAGTATCAAAGATTTTGAAACGAAATATTGGAGATACGCATTTTTTGCACTCAACCGTCAATATTCATTCAGATTTCATCGCAGAAAATTTATGAAAATGAAAACTTAGGCTATGACAGGCTCCATGATGCATTTAATATTAAGAATATACAATCATTTTACAATCATTATACTACATTTTATTACAATAAAATGAAGTTAGCATGATTGCTACAATGAGTGTAGAGAGATCTATGCTGCTGTGCTGTGGAAGACTGCCGAATGAGCCTTCAGACGTTGCCAAACCTCATTCCACAAATCTCTAATTTGATGTAAAATTTGTGGATATTTTTCCTCCAAATTTTCAGAGATATTCGTTTATAATTACATCTATATTTTCTGAAAGTTTCAATGAAAAATATGTCTAAGTATTCTCAAAAATAAGTATTTCCTGGGGGTCAATTTGGCAACATTCGAATATTCATACAGCAGTTTTCTTTAGAACGATAGTGTAGTTCTTGTGTTGGACAGCAGCTCAACAAGAAAAATTGAGTGATGATTACCTGTTCTGACAGATATTCTTTGAGCTATGAATCTACCTCCTACTACAGCTATACCCGTACATATTGAGTGACCAAATATTCCACCCGCAGTGACTCCATAAGGATCCTAAAAAGCAGAGTAACCATATTGCATTAAACTTTGAAACAAATTACAGGAATTAACGTCGGTTAAATATAGGTAGAGAACTTTCATCCCGAAAGAAAACTCTTCTTTCGGGCAGAATGAAAAAAGCTCACAGTTGAAGAAAAATAAAATTCTATTAAGATTAAGTAAGAAAAAAATATTTTTAAGATCAATTATTGATTCAGTGCCCAATAAATTATTTCTGCAGTTTGTAGGTATCTCTATAAAAATTAACTGATGGCTTAAGTAAAGAAATGCATATCTTCATTGCAACTTTTGAAAATCTCCGATAATGTATTGGTTTTTTAAAAAGGAAACTAGTTATTTTAAAAATTATGGAAGAAGAGAAAAGAATTCTCAGAAAATTTCAAGAAAACTCAAGAATGACTCTTGGTTGAAAAAATAAAAACAAAAGGAGTGATTTGTGATATTGCAATTGCAGATACGCATTTCTTTTCTAAAGCCAACAAAACATAGAAGAAAAACAAGGTAGAGAAATGCGGCACGCATTTCTCCACCATTTTTTTTCTTTTATTCTTCCCCCCCTTTTTTCCCTTTTTTTCAAAGAATAAAAAAGTTTGAGAACATCGCAAAACCTTTAAATACAAGTCCTTTCAAATTTGGAGGGTATATTTTCACTAAAATTCAACGAGAACATGTTAGTAACAGAGGAAAACGAGGAATTTTAATTTATTTGCTCTTTAAAGGAAAAAACTACCTTGACATACATGAGGGGGGGGGCAGCCGGCTAATTGTTGAAATTTATAGACAAAGCTATATACAAAGATGACATAAGAAAATATGGAGCTATCGCTATCCTATTTGTTGAAATGGGTACTTCTTATTGACAACAGGGGTAAATGATGGACTAACTATAGGGTTCTCGTAGGTTGCCGTTAGTTAGTCCAATACCTGGGTACCTCCTTTGTCCATTGCAACCACCTGCTTACACCAAAACTTCTGTGCTAAGGAAAAACGTTGTATGAGCCTTCAGACATTACAACATTTTTTTCGATAAAATAGTAATTTTCAAGGAAACTTCCTTCTGGATATTTTTCTTCTAATTTTTCAAAGAAAATCATTCGAAATTTGATCTAATTGATGTGAAAATTTCAAGGAAAAACACTCATGACTTTCCTCCAAAATTACAGTTTTGTAAGGGAAAATTTGGCAACTCCTGGAGGCTCATACGGCGTTTTTCTTTAGCACGGTAGAATAGGATCCCTTCATATCCTTTTCGTCTTCTTTATTTATCACTTTGTCTACCAATTTCAACAAACAGCCCGCAGTAAAGCGCGAAGAGAGAAAAACTTACCTCAGTAGCGGCAAGAACTATTGTCGTCAGCTGAGAACGGTCACCCCACTCAGCGAGAAATGTTAATGTAAAAGCTTGAACTACTATTCTGGATAAAAGTTTAATTGTTGGGGCAGGAATTTTGGTTGTACCGCTCCCTGACTCAACATCGGGCGCCAATGCTTCTCGTTCAAACTTTAAACAAAAGACATTTCTATTAGAAAAATGTGTGCCGTTGACCAAAAATATTTCGGGCTTCACTATTGCATAGGATTTTCGAATTAAAATCAATCCTTCTTCGAATCGTTACCAACTATGAAGTCGGAGAATAGAGAAGACAGGGTGGGCACAGATACTGCTAAAAAAGGTCCAAATTCATGCATTACACCTCTGTTGCAGTGTTCCCATTCCATGTCCGTTAAAAGTTCCAAGGTTCGGAACTTATTTGTTCCAATTTCTCCACGACATGACGGTCAAAAGTTCCGGAATTCTTTTAACATTTTTTCAAAAGTTCCGAGAAAGTTCCGGAAAATGCAAAAGATCCGGAACATTTCGGGAATCTCAAAAGTGCCGGAAAAATTCAGGGAAATCTCAAAAGTTCTGAACTTCGGTACTAGTTCCGGGAAATGGGTTTACTGGACTGTTGTTCCCTCTGAGATTTCTTGTGAAAGAAGGGAGAGAGAGGGAGTGTTGATAGTTAAGAGAGCCATTAAAAACCTATCGAAATCAATTGAGACGCAACCAGCAGAACTTTCCCAAAATATCATCAGAAAATGTCTGCCGTAAAATTTAGGTCTGCGTATCAGGAAGACTAATAACAGCCGTGATTTACGCTTGCTGAAATATTAGTGCTCTAGAAAAATATGTAGGATTATATGTCAGTAAGCATTATTTCGTCATTCGGAAAACACGAGCTAATAACCTGTTAAAATGGATTTTAGTGCGGTTCTACTTTGAGTCCACACTATCTTCGGAAGCATTTGTACAATTTATTATTGAAGACTGAAAGTGAAACTAGTAAATTTTACGAATAAAATTTTAAAAAATTTGCTCACTGACTAGGACTAAAGTTTATTTATTGGATTTGGAGCACATTTAGGTTGGAACCTGGTGTGCTCAGAAACACGTTCCAATCAATTCAATTTAAGTGAAAGTAAGTAAGCAAAATTTTTAAAATTTTATTAGATTTTAACTTATTCTGACCCCGTTTATGATTTTCTAGTAAAATGTACACAAAAATAACGATCAATATCAGTATGAATAATATCAATTTGTAAAGTGATTTTAATGAGATAGAAGGACTGGGCTAGGAAGCTATAAGGCTTACGAGAAATTGATGTTTTTCATTTTCGCTGAATGAAAATATCAGGACTTTTGATATCATTACAGAAGATAAATGGAAAAGAAAAAGTTGACATAATATTGTTTCATAACCTGTGGCTGCAAGAAGCATTTATTGGACAGTCCAAAATGCAAGAAATTTTGAATACCAAGTCACATTTTAATCTTTTAAACTAAGTAAATAAAAAGCGAATTGGCGTAGCAAAAAGGGAGAAGAATACATCAAAGAACCATCTACAAGAGTATCCCAATTTAAGAACTGCTAACTTTGTACTGAAATTCTGAAGATGTTGGGAAGAATTGAGTCATGCACAGGGCAATAAAAAATTAGCATTAGAAATTGGATTTTATCTGAAGAAAGAAGAGTTGGGAAAAAACTGTACGGTTGTTACCTGTATCACTGAAATAATCAGGATTTCAGAGAAAAAAGGCTTGCAGACCAAAAGAAACTCTGATTAGTGAATTAATGACAGATAAAAAAATAAAAATAAAAGGAAACGGCAACAAAATCAATTTTGAACAAATAAATAAATGAATAAACGCATCGGATGCCTTGCAAAGATATTAGTAATAAATTCAAACCTCTTACCTGAGGCACACTAGAAGATTTATGTTTAACTCCAATTGGTTCTGAACTAATGATTTTTTCGGAGTTTATCGATAAACTACCTTCTTTTACATCTGGCACCACTGTTGGAGGATCCTCCGGACTCACCCCCACAACTGAACTACTAGATCCCCATTTACTTTTCTTCCGAACCTTCTCCTCAGCGAGCTACAGTAACAGACAACCCCTGATATTACAAACATGTTCTAACCTAATTTGAACCTTCTCCTATTTGTTCAGCAGCTGACGGGAAATTTCGTGCATATTTCAAGACAGAGTGTCTACCAGTTATAAAAAACCAAAATTGGGAACTTTCGGGGGCTTTTAGGGGTGTTTTTCAAGAAAATCGGGGACTTTTCCCTCCGAAATAGTAAGAGAAAGGGAGCTAGTTAGAGCGTTAAAAGGCGTATCTTTACGACTAATTTTAAGAGTCATGTTGAACCGATGAAAACATACGAAAAACAGAGCAACACTTCAGTTTTTTTCCTGGTTATACCGCGCCGCCGCGGCTGGCGGGCTTAGAAAAGACCGGTGTTTAGCATAAATTTTGTCATTTTTTGGGGACCTGAACAAGAAAATTGGGGACTTTCGGGATATCGGGGATACCCTTCCGAAATCGGGGCTAATCGGGGACACTGGGTCCTTTGAGGGACCGGTACACACCCTGCTTATTTGCGACCTTGAGCTTTCGTCTAACTACCGCAGTTGCCTGCTAGCCTAGGAAACAATGCGTACTTGCGATATCTTCTTGAGAAATTTGCCCTTTTGATAAGTGACGGTTTCGTGCTAGAGTACGGACATGTCGAAGTATGGAGCTCTTAGAGCCCAAAAGGTCAGTAAACTTTCTAACACGAAAAATGCCATTGCCAATCTTCAGATTCCAATATCAAACCCAGATGGCCGAGCAAGTTCATAAATGAGTGTTCTTCTACAAATGAGTAAATTTATGCAATTCGCGTTAATAAATTATTCTGGATAATTTTGATTCATAGGTTAGCTGCCCTTTTGGGCCCTAAAAGCTCCATGACCTACTTCAAAATTACCGACTAGCCCGTACTCTCCCTATACAGGTACTTTACCTAAGACTAGCTACAAATTTTCTTGCAGAGGTTTCCATGGTGTCTAGAATGGCTCTTTCCTTGATTTTCCCTGATTATTAGCTGATTCCCTGATGAGAAACCGAAATTTTTTCCATATTCCCCTGATTTTCTTAGGGGGGGACCGTATGACTCTCCAAAGTTCTAGATATGGATATAGATTTTTTTTTTTTTTTTTTTCCAGTATTCAGCCAATTTTTGGGCGCACACTTATATTTCTAATTCCAAAATCCTTTCCTGGAGTTTATATAATCTGGTCAAGAAAAGCTCCTCTATTATTCTGACGATTTGAGGATTCAAATATGTCATTCGAGAGGTCAATAATGGCGGTTCGAGTGCAATAACAGACTCAAAGCAGTAGAAGAGGAGATGCCCAGTTTCTGACACAAATTCCCTGATTTTTCCCTGATTTCCCTGAGATTTTTCATTTTCTCAGGAATACTGGTTATATGTACGGTTTTTCCTGGTCCTAGACACCATGCCTTGTGCCGATGCTATCTGTTCTAACTTTTCCTTCGGAAGCTCGTAGTAAGTGAATCGTTCTTTATAGGAAGGATATCTACAACGTTAACTTGTAGGGTATACGTATAAACTTCGATTCATTTAGAGAATTTAATAAAATTGTAAATATAAACTTGATAAGAGACAGATTGCTGATAATTTCACTGAAAATGATAAAAACGCAGGGGGAAAGGCTATGCAGTTCGTTTTATCTAGGAAGTTCTTGTAGCTGGAGAAGGGTTGTAGACTGTAGACAAAGAGGACAGAGAGAATAAGGCGAGACATGACTGGTTCCTAAACAGCTCTGAAATAAGAGAAGGTTCAGCCGAGATGAAACTGCAGGGTGTCCACAGACCGAAGGGTAAAAATTCCCTGAATTTACCAGGTTTTCCCTGGCGAAAATGATCAAAATTCCCTGACATTTTACGTCGACGATGTAGATCTGAAAATAAAATTTCTTGTCGGTAATTTCACTGCAAATGACAGAAACATGTGAATCTATTTTCTTCGGACATTCATCGTTCAATTCACAAAAATTGCATTCGCCTTATTACAAATTATTTCTCTACTCACTATTCATAGTGTTGCTCACATGACTGAGCTTCAAACCAGACTGAGATACAATTTGATTATACATATGGGCAGTGCTTTTGTTTTTTAGCAGATTTCAAATTTTAAATTTTTTCAAATTTCCCGTCTTTTTCGTAAAATTACCTGGCCATTATCGGTTTTCCAGACCTGTGGACACCCTGTAAAAGCCTTCATCAAAGTAAGTAAAATTCAAAGACGGTTGAAGGAGCGATATTTGACTAAACTTTCCTCTCAGTAATGAAGCGTAAAAATCAGAAACTCATCAAGTGTATTGCCTTCCAATGAATGAAATACGGTTTAAAGTTTATACAAGTAATTATTTCGGTGTTGGTTTTGAAAGCTTAAAAATTTTCCTGCTGAGTAAAATATTCTCAATTTTAACGAGTTTTAAGCAGAACAAAGAGAAAGAGAAGTACAAAGTAAGAAGAGGGGATGGAAACACAACCTTTCACAGGAAAAAGACCCTTTCGGTAACTTCTGTTGAATCAAGTATAAATATGTTTTCGGTATAATTTTCAAGTATCAACTAGACCGCGGCGATTTCGCAAGTTAGTAACACTGTTTTTCCACCATTTAAATCCATTAAAACATCGATTTAGGTGAGGCAAGCTGTCTCACCAAGAATCGATAGTTTTACATACATATAAATGCAGGAAAACCACTGTTGCCGAATTTCAAGAATCGCCACTGCAATTAGACGGATTCAACAGGAATCAGCCTAATGCGTTTCACATTGCCTTCTTTTCTGTGAATTTTTGTTTTTTTAAATGGAAAACTAAAAAACTTAATGTTTATCTCATTTTTGTGGATTTACTTTATATTATAAGTAGTACCCATGGCCACGAAAGTTCAGATTTCGGAGTTGCTTAAAAATCTGTCCAAAAAATAAAACAATAGAGAAAATTAGGCGATGTCTGATGTGGTTGCTTTTGAACGTTAGCTTAAATAAACTGATTTCTCAATCAAATCGACACGATTTAAAACTGATAAGGGTTGCTCGAAACCTCAACCGTATCAATCCATGCGTTTCTATTTTCCCGCAGAGCAACATGTGATCCAACATCTTGGCTCTATAATTAAGGGTTTCTTCTCTCATCATAAATGGATCAGAATCGGTGATATTCCGGAAGAAACTCAGTACATCTGAACCAGTCAACATTTTTCGGGCGGTGACATGCGTCAGAAGAGCTGATAATCCATTCTTAACCAAATCTTTCTTTCTGTTAATATCTTTCAGTATAGCTTTGGACATTGTTCACTTCATCCACTAATGCAGGGTTTCGTCCATGTTCATATTTTCGGTCGGGTTCATCTCTTATCCGTTTGCAATTTCTTTCTTTAATGACTGAACTTGCAATGCGTCTGTTGCACGCAAAAATAGAGTATTTTTCCGTCGGAAACTACACTAAAAACCACACTGGTAAAAAAAACCTCTTGGACCAATGCCGCGTTGCATTGACTTAAAAGTGCAGTTTCTTGTCGCCGGATTTAAGAGTCTTGAATTCTTGTTTCAAGAGGATTTTGCATTGATTCAATTCAAACGTGAATTGAATCAATGCAAAATCCGCTTGAAACAAGAGTTCCAGACTCTTAAATCCGGCGACAAGAAACTGCACTCTTGAACCATGAGGTTTTTTTTTACCAGTGCGTTGTGTGAAAAGACTTATGGAAGGTAGAATGACACAAAAATCACGATGGTCACATTGAAAAAGTCCGAAGTTCACTCCTTATGGCGCAATATGCGTGCTTCGAAACGCGCTTTTTCAAATTTTCCTCGCCTGGGGCAGTTTTCTAGTCAGCAGAAACGAGCAAACCGCAACTTTAGGTTGCCTCGATGGTTGCCGATTCGTTGTTGTTGTTGTTCTTCATTCGTTTTGTTTACAAGCGAAACATGATCTTTAATAGTCATGGTCTGTGCCCACGCACACCATCTCTCTATTTAATCGATGTGCGGGTTGTGGTGATAAATATTTTGTTTAGAATTGCCAGTTTAACCGCCAGTGTTTGGCTCGATAGACAAAACAACTCAAAAAGGGCACGCTGACTTTAGCAGCCCTTAATACAAAAGCGGACGGAAACCAGAATCGAAGAAATACATGACCTTCATGCAAAATGGAGAGAATGTTGAAGCAAAAGTCACTGATGCTTGGACGGATTTAATCGAAATGAGCCTAACTGTATTTCACATTGCCACACACACATTGATATTCATCACATTGATATTCGCTCATGTTTCACTTGCCTGAAAGCGAACTTAACTACTCGATAACTTTAAACTTCATGTGAATTTAGCCTAGATTACGAAGAATATACTCACGAGATTTCAAATTTCAGTGTTGATGAGTTTTTTGAGGAATAAAACATCAGAGAAAAATGTGAAATGCAGATAGGCTTAGTTCCAGTTAAATCCATCGAACTCAACAGAAAACAAGAAAAATGATTGGAGAGATTAAACGGATTTTCATGCTCTTTTCATTTTCAAGAATTGTGTCCCGATGAACCAAACTATTGTCAAGCATCGATACAGAGTACAAAAAACCTCACAGAAAAAGACAGCTTTAAAAAACCCAAAACCATAAAATACATAGGAAATTAAACTATAGAAAAAAAAATAATTTACAAGCTGTATTGTTCGTAAGTCTCCTTATGAACAAACAGGAATACTTAGCCGCATTTGCTTGAACGAAGGAGTCTTAATTGGACCGCCTTAAACAGAAAGGAACCAAACCACATCAACTATTGCCAAATTTAACTGGTCAATAGTCTCTAGCAAGAGAACGTTTTTGCGTCTTTTGAAAATTTTACGGAATTTGCTTCGTGCTATGCAGAAAATGCACTGAAAGCACCAAAATCTGCATGACAGTTTTTATGTAAAACATTAAATTGCCCGGTTAAAGGCAATAGCTCATGTGCGGCTTAGCTCCTTTCTGGCAGAAATCCTGCTTAACGTGGTCGAATTATGACCTATTTTCTCGTGGATTAAATCTCAGAACGGTCCGAATATCTAAACAAGTTTATAATTACAACCTAGAGCCTGAATCAACAGAACTTTTTCGGGGATTAAAACAAAGAGTAAACTACAACAAGATTACCGACCCCTCTACACGGAGAAATAAACTTCGAGCAAGGGACCCGAAGTTTAGGTCATATGGATCTCTGAAGTTTCCGGATTGAGCATCTGAAGGCTTTAGGTCCAGCTGCTGAGGTTTGGATCACACATCTGAAACTTCAGTTCTTACATCTGAAGTACTTCGGTTTTCACATCCGAAAAACTTCGGTTCTCACATCTGAAGTACTTCAGATGTGAGAACTGAAGTTTCAGATGTGTGATCCGGAACTTGACAGCTAAACCTGAAGTGTTAAGATGCTCAATCCGAAAACTTCAGAGATCCATATGACCTAAACTTCGGGTCCCACGCACGAATTTTTTTCCTCCGTGTATCAAGGAGTTTATGTTACTTCTTTAAGGTGATTCTAAATGATCTTAGCTCTTTTTCGGCTTCAGGCAAAACATCAGAGTAGAAACGAAGCGATGCTCATAGGAAGAGTCTTTATGTACTGGATTTCGAAGTATAAAAAAGGTGGGATTACGAAATAAAGGAGATTCTGAAAAAACTTGACCTCAAAATGCCAGCAAACATTTTGAGGTTTGAAACTGAAAGATTGGTACGACGAAGTAAAGTTCAAAGACTCTGCAAAGGGAGCTAAGTCCATGACGAATCCTTAGACCTTATGTACGCGGCTCAGGCAACCGAACTTACTTCACAGATAACCTGGTTGCGTCGGGCAGACTGAAGGGGATTGTAACGCTGGAAGTAAGTTTCCATAATTTTGGTGTGGTCTTGAAGCGTAGGAGCCGAGAGAACATTTGATCTCAAATGATATCATACATTTTGAGGTTTGAAACGGAAAACACTTGCTGAGATTTCGAAAGATTTCTTTCTTTCTTTCTTTTTTTTCTCTGAATGCATGATCTGATGCCGAGATCTCATAGACTTGACGGGATTTTTACGTTTTTTCGGTTTGGGTGGTTCATCGTCAATAACGCGGTGGGTAGAAAGGTTGATAAGATATGATCACAGAGGGGATGGAAAGGGAAAAATGTCTAACATGGTTAAAAATGAACAAAATTTATGAGAAGAGAAAAAAAACGGGTGAAAACGAAAGAAAAAATGATTGATGAATTTCCATTGAGAATAAAGCGTCAAAATTCACTTATTTTTGGTTTTATCAAGTTTATACATAATCCCCTGTACAGAATGTCCGAGGATTAAATACGAATATTAAACAAAAAAAATAAAAACGAAATTGAGGCGACAAACGCTTAAAATCAAGTACAGGGATGATAAAATAAAATAAATTGATAAAATGGACGTATTTCTGCCAATCGGAACTATGTGCATTAGGACATTAGCCCCGAGACCCATAAGAATACATGCATAACAGGGCTCACGTTATAATGCCCATAGTTCCGTTTGGCAGAAATACGTTCAAATGAAGGAAATGATAATAAGGATGATGGTAAAGGGAAAAAATTAACTTAGATGAACTTATTACGCACAAATTTAGTTAAAATTTAATGATTTCTCCAGTTATAGAAACAATGTAGATTATCTTTCCGTACCCCCACAGCGATAGCACGGCAATGAATCACTGAATAATCAGAACATTACCCGCATTCTTATTATCAGGAGGCGCAACAGGTGAGTCATAAAGCTATACATTCTCATAGTTTCCCTCCACCATAAAACATATTTATGGCAAACATATATCGCTACATTTTCGACGCAAGACCTCACTTGAGTGCGGTATTTAAGATCCCGTTTTCACACGTAATATTGCTTACTGACATATTATCACACTCAATTCTGTGACTGAAAACAGTTTTTGGGCTTAGTCTCCTTTCAGCTGATTGAAAAGAAAATCAAAGCATGTTCTGGTTGGTTTGTCTGACTGGAACTAGAAAGAAGGGATTTTTCTCGGCGGTAAAAAATCCGTGTTATGTTCTTAGAAAATGTACTACTCGTTGGATGCAGTAGTTAAGACGATACATTAAATAGGAACACTTAACACGCCAATAATTGGACTGCATTTTGCAATTTGGAACTATAAATTCTGGCCCGGTTTAAAAACAACGTATGTGCCATTAGTTTCCCTGAGCACATACGTGTTTTTTCATATGAGCCAGAATTTATAGTTCCAAATTGCAAAATGCAGCCCAATTATGCTCTGAACTAAAAAACATATTCGTTTGTTCACATGCGTCTTATCTCTTACTCCATACTTTCTTTATTTTTGTAAGAATTGATGAAAAAGAATCGTTCATTCTCCATCTACCCCTCTTCTATTTCTCCATACTTCCTTTCTCCTTCTTCTTTCTTTCTTTCTTTCTCTTCGTTGCGATTTGTGAAAAAGGACACAGAAAGCAATACAAGCTTTCAAAATTTGAGAATTCTGTCTGCGCCTTTTTCTTCACTAAATGTTATTACTCTAGGTAAAACAAGAAAATTCATAACGATAGAGCGATAGACTCGATAGAGACAACCAGAAAAATGGCTTATGCAGGATTCCAGATGATGCATAGTGGCGTGGCGTGCTTGGCGATTTATCGATTGATCTGCCCTTTAAACCTATGAAAAAAGATCGATATAAGTACAGGGCGTTCGCAACGAACGCCTTAGTAATCGATTATTTACAATACCTTCAAATGGGGAAATATCGATAATCGATCACTCATGCCTCGCCACTGATATGATGCCATGGATGCAAGAGGGCAGTTTTTTGACCAAAGCTCCTGGGAGATTTAATACTTAAACGCCACCACAAAGAACAAAGGTCTCCCACACATGCATACTTATCCAGTGGAAACTTTGAAGGGTTGTAGGGCAGCTTCCAATACTTTCTTCTGCACGCTTGAATTAGAGCGGCAAGTTGAAAAAAAATGCATTTATTTAATGTTTACGTCTTCCATTTCCTGGCGAGCATCTGAACTTACTAGTACTCAGAAATGTTGCAATTATTACGAATTTATTTACTTAGTAAAAGAATGGAAAAAACGATGCAAAACATTCAAACTTTAATCCATTAGAACTGAAAGTATTAGTGACCGCTGAAAGGAAACCGGGCCTTCATCGTGGTTGGATGTAGTTTACGGAAGATAAGTTGGTCCAATTGGGTTAAAAGATCTGAGTTTGCGTATCCCTCAAAAAATTATGCTTTTGAATATCCTGCCAAATAAGTTTTAAGTGACTTCCTTCATTTCTAAGCCGAAAAGGGGTGCAACATTTTATTTTAGAATAATCCTAAACATTTAATGATTAAATCTAAAAAATCCAAACATGGTAGATCAAAACTAGCCTACGATAAAAACTACGTTCATTGAATAAAGCTTTAAATCGTTAAAATTTCGGTACATATGACTTCTAATTTCTCAGAATATTTCGAGCCAAAATGTTCAGAACACATACTTCTAGCTGATGTCCATCATTCGAGTTCGGATTTTTTGACATCCGGGTTGTCACATCACAACTTTAAGGGTGCAGGAATTTCCAAAAACCGACCGTCCGCTGCGATACGGCGTCTTATACATATTTCCGATTCACTAACACGCACAAACACACGCTAAAATGTGCGATTTATCACTCATTTAAAGAATTGAGTAAAACAATGGAGATCATTGACGACCCAAGATTTTTCTCACATCTGCCACTGTCCTAGAATCGCGAGATTGGGCATCTTTTTGCACTTTCACTCAAACCCTCCTCCTCACTATGAAAAATTTTCAAATTAACGATTTCCGGTCGAGAATGGAGATGTTGCATGTGTGAGGAATTTGCGCTTTGGCCATTGATTCTTATGTAAAAGTTCGCGAGAAACACGACGGTGCCACTGGTTTTCTCTGAAATCAACTCCCAAGCTCAAAAAAAGCTCTCAAGTTGAGGCCAAGATGGAGGGGATATCCCACGCTATCCTAAAAGTCCACCTGTACATCAAGACAAACTCTCCATGCGAAGATAGGGAGCAAATACATTGACAGGGCCGCCACTTTATTTGGGGACTCTTAAGCTGAAAACATGGCATCACTGCTAATGTATTTGCTCCCTATCTTTGCATGGAGAGTTTGTCTTGATGTAGACGTGGACTCTCAGGGTAGGGTGGGATATCCCCTCCATTTTGGCCTCAACTTGAGAACTTTTTTTGAGCTTGGGAGTTGATTTCAAAGAAAACCAGTGGCACCATCGTGTTTCTCGCGAACTTTTACATAAGGATCCAAAGTCAAATAGCAGGCTCCTCACACATGCAACATCTCCATTCTCGTTGAGTAAACAGAAAACCTCTTTAAAGTACGGGACGTCTCTTTGAAATAACAGAAACATCGTTTGAAACATTTCCTGTAGACTCAACGATAATTCTCACCCGGGAATTCTACAGTGGAGTTTCTATCGAATTGAACCAACAAAAGTTTTTTCTCCTTGCTGTTCTCACTTCCTTACTAAGCTACCATGTTGACACCAATGCATGTTTTTTATGATAAAAATAAAAGGAGATCATTTACTTATTTATACCGAATTATTTATGAGTTTCGGCTTGGTCAGGAAAATAATGATAGAGATCAAATTATTATTACTGTTGCTTCGCAATCCATGGCATCATACTCATCAAGTCTATAGAACACGTTGATAAATTTTAAAAATTTGAGAGAATCATGAAGTATCAAAATGAAGTATACGTTTTAAAAAACCACTTCTCTGAGAGTTAGAAGCAGATGAAAAGAAAGTAAAGCCACTTACTTCATCCTCTCGTCGTTTGAGATCGGACTGAACTCCCTCTAGTTCTTGCTGAGCTTCATTCGGGGACATCTTGAAGCCTTCCAGCAGCATTTTCACGCCGAATATGAAGAATAAAAGTATTGAAATATAATAAGTATATACTCTTGGTATCACAGTCGCAGCTAGGCCAAACACAACTGCAAAACAATAAAAAAAGAGAAAAAATTAAGGGTCAATACGACCTGACAAAAAAGTGGACGAACGAAAGGATAGGCAGATATGTAAAAATATTAAAAACCACACACAAATTTATTATATTATCAAAGTAAAATTGGCTACAATGAATTTAAAAAGTGTTTCGACGATTTATAGAAAATTTAAACCTCTATTTTGTTGAGATCCTATCAGTAGAAGGAGAAAATCAGTACAACCAAACTTTAATCATCAGGGTTCTTGACTTCTCTTCGGAAAAAAAATCATGACCTTCCAGATATTTTTCAAGGCGTTCAAAACAACAAAATCCAGGGCTTCCAGGGATCTTCCAAAGATTTCCTAAAAGATTTCAGCGGCTTCAAAGAATACCCTTAAAATTTGAAGTGAATTTTGACCAATTTCGGGGCAATTTAAAAGCTTTTGAGAAACTTTACCTCCTTCAAAGCAAACAACCTCCTCTAAAATTTGACTGAAATAATGGTCCTCACATTCATGAACNGGGGGGGGGGGGGGGGGAATTAAGCTATACAAAAGGACTCTCCAAGGAGTCATAAAACCTTGGACAAAAAAAATCCCTGGGGTAAGGTTGGAGGGAGAAGGCCGGAGTAACGTGTTAGTGGTAGGCGCAACGCTGCCATAATTTCTTTATCTTCAAATTCCTTGACTTTCCTTGATTTTTCCCTGACCCCGCAATTATTTGATTCGCTGATGCTGCCTTTCCCTGAGCTTTGAAAAGAAAGTCCACCTTTTTTTCCCTTGAAATGCGCTACCTTTTGCTAAACTTTGGACGAGATTTCCTTGTTAAGGGGTCAAATGATGGATAGAGGAATTCAGTAGCAAGTTGAAAGATAACAAACCTTAAAAATAACCAGAAGGATAAACGGTTGGAAGATCAGTGATACGTTTTAGTGATTAGTAGGTGTGCCAGAGATTCCCTGGCTTTTCCTACAAATTCCCTGGCTTTTCCCATAAATTCCCTGACTTTTCCTGCTCCTGACTTTCCCGCTTTCCAAACCGCCGGCAACTTTGCAAGCATGATAAAAATAGAAAACGAAAAAAAGGCGAATGTACGATCGTTTTCTAATCAAGATGCGAATAGTAATTTGAAGATATTAACCATTGGCGGTCGCGGAGTTGGGAAAGGGGTACAAACAAATTAAAGATTTGACCTTGAGTCGAAGAACGATCGATCATCGAACTTTGAAAAGCTCTGGCGCAGGGCGAGGACAGCCCGCCGACTGGAAACGGAATTGAGCGGCTAATTTGAAAGGGAACTTGAAAGCCGTGGGATTCCTAGAGTACATGCGCCTTTTTTCAATAAGAAAGCCGTCCGATTATGTTTCAACCCATGACACGATGATTGGGTTGTTTGCAAAACTGGAGAGGGTATGTTTCCCTGGCCTTTGCACTTTGCACGCTTCCATGGCCGATAAAGAAAACGAAAATCGGCGACGCTTTACGAATACCACTGAAATCACTCTCATGACTGAAATCCATTGATTCTATGCGCCTCCTTTGGAGCTACTTCAAAATTAGAATTTTAAAATTTGTTTCACAAGAAAATTTAAATTTGAGTTCAAATTTGGTTTAGATACGTGGAAAGACCATTTTAAGAGCTTTTAATCCGCACCAAAACGGTTTAGATTAAATGAACGATTTCAAAAACACAAGCAGTTGAAGGAGCTAACCTCTTTTATTTGAATGTAACTTGAAAGCTCAATTAAAGTTCAACTAGAGCGAAAAAAATAAAATTTTTAGGAACAGCTCAAAGAGTAGAGTAAATCTACCAAATCTCATCAAATTCTAAGGAGGTCGGGTCGAACTTTGTTTTGATGTAGTATGGAAAGACCCACGAGGCAGTGGCAAGGAATTTTTACAGGGCTGTAGCATAGTGTCACCGACGTAAACTTTTGAGGAAAAAACAAAATAATAATTAAAAAGTTCAAAAAAACATTTCTACGGGGAGAGAAAGTTGATAAAAATCTAAACAATAGCTACATTTCCCCCTTTTTTAAATGTACCTAGCCTCCGTTCTGTGGCAGCCTTCCCCCAAATTAAGTTAATATTTTATTGGGCTAGGTCCGCTTCTGTTTACTAATTACTCAGGACTATAATCTTTGCTATTAATTTGATGTCATTCTTAAATATCAATTTACTCATTGATGAATCGATAAGACAATCTAAAATAATCAAGCTTTACGTTCCATTACAAGTTATTTGAGAGCCCCTGAACGATTACTCATTACTCCAATCTTCCATTACCCCCGCCTACGTTGTCCTTATCAAAAACTGATTTCAAGTTCGGGAAAACGTTTCTTTTGTTCTTCGATAAGCACAATAAGCTTTAAATATTTATGTTCGTATTTAGATAATCTTACTCTACGCCAAAACCTGCGTACTCACAGATCATTTCCGTAAAGCTATTGTTCTGAGGGAATTCTCCTCTTAAAATGCACTAATAGAAAAAATTTAGCGTGCGTTATTACAAGGCGTTATATGGCAGAAGGACGTCATGCAACTTTTTTGCGTTTGGTGTTAGGAATCATGTAATGCCCCTAGTGTCTAGTAACGCGTGCGAAACTTCATAATTCACACTACAAACTTCTTATGACGCATGCGACAAAATCATGACGCCCTTTTACTTGTGGTGCACTGGATAAGGGTGGTGTCAGAGCTGCAGTATCAATTGTATACATTTTGAAAATGTGAATCGACCACCCAATATCGGACAGAAAGACTGAAAGCAGTTCCAACTTTGCTCTAAATCCAATAAAGATTTGTACACATCGCGTGAAGTTCCGACTATGGCTGCGCTTGAGGGCGCTATTAGCGGTAACTGTTTGTATGTACCGTAATTTCGCACTTACAAATCAGAAATATTTTTAAAAGAAAGAAAAAAAAAATCAAAAAAAAAAAAACGACTCATGAAAATAGGTTAAAAGAAACTCAATGAAAAACGATCAGATACCTAATTTTTTCTCGTTTCGAAAACCGAGAACGCAATAATACTTTTTAACAATCAATGAATTTTTGGAAATATTAACAATGGTGCGATAAAAATCAGTGTTGGGTTACTTCATTGAATCTATGGGCAACGCTGAAATTAAGTTAAGATGCGCAAGAGCGACAAGCAAAGTACCCTCAGTTAATTTCGCACGCAACGTGTACTGACTGGATTTCCTCGTAACGCCTGGATGCAACTATTCGAGCTTCAAGGATAACCGTGTTGCCTACGCACGGGGTTGAAGGCGTTTTGACTTTCCAGGCACTCGCCGCTTTGTTAGTTGAGGCGGTGAACGCCTCGCGAGTCAAAACGCCTTCTTTTCTGTGGGCATGCAACGTGGACATCCGTGGAGCCCGAATAGTTGCATGGCGTTCATGAAATTCATTCAGTGTTCTTCGCATGCGATACTAACTGAGAGCGCTTTGCGAATAATTGTTTCTCTTCCATCGGCACTTGCTTTCAGCTAAATATTTCATCACCGTCCAGTGAACCTTTCTGGCAGTTTTTTACTCACCCTAACGTCAAGAACTTGTAACCCTATTGCACTTCTTCAGACGTTCACTTCTCTTTGCGTCTCTTTTTCGCAGAAAAGAAAGAGAGAAAAAAAAGTTATCTGAATTTTTGATGACCAAAAATATAATCCTTAAATCAATGGAAGGTTGCGAATTGCATAGTGAATAAAGGATAGTTTTGACAAACTGAAGAATGAAAATAACATCAGGAAAACTTTCCATGGAAGTATTGACTAATGTTTTACACCATTTCACGAGCGATTTAAATGTGCCTCCCCAATGACGCCTCGCGTGATATTTTACGGTTGGAGTGTTTCCAACTACGATGAGCTTATATCTTCCACATCGATTGGTCAATGATGGTCAATCAAATAAAGTATTTACAACTGGCAATACTCAACACTACCGGACTCATCAATCAATTACTGAAGTACAGATAATACTATAAAAGAAATGGGATGCTGAGGTAAAGCAAGGTCATTTTCAACTAATTCGACATGCAAAGAAGATTCCGATTAACTCGAAGCTGGGAACAATGAGTTTGACCTCATAATAGTTTATTGTATTTTTCAATCAATCATAGGGTTACTGTCGATTTTCTTCTCAAATTTTCGGTGGATTTTTCCTCCGATTTTCTTTTCTTTCACTTTCGCAATGGCTCAGCATCGAAATACAACGGCGTCTTATTTCGTAGTATATTCATCCTGAATTCGTAACGAACGCTGATGTTTCAGCAAAAAGTATTGAATACAGTCGCCGATGAGGTAATAAATACAGGGTATCCCGGAAATTCAAGCCTCTTTTATAGAGATACATTTTTAGGGTTAAAGAAGACTTTCAGGATGAAGACATGAATTTTCAGGGTGGCAACTGAACTCTGAAGTTAGAGGTCCCTGATTTTTCTGAGAGAAAAACATTCCTGATTTTGGCCAAATTCCGTGGTTTTCTTCCTCGAAGCACTGAAACTCTCGATCAGTATGGTATTCTAGACAAAATTTGACCTAGAAATAAACGCCACTTGTCTTCTTTTCAAAATTGTACGTAAAAAACTACTTAACTTAATTTAACTAAACTTAATGGTCCGCTCAATTTAAAAAACGAACATAGAGAACTTGCCTAACTTTTCTCGGAAAAATTATTCTATTAGGAGAAACAAGGCAACGTTGGAATGCTCATGCGGCGTCGAAACACAGCACGGACCTTCCAAGCCCCATTATTCGATGCCGCGATTACTTATTCTAATGTGAGTTCGAATAATCGCGCCTAACACAGTGCGGCCGGTGTCAAACGTACATTACAGCCTGCAAGACTGCAAGAATACTTCACGCATTGCGCCAAACAGAGCGGTCGGTGTTGAGCGCATATTAGCGCCTACACGACTGCATGGACAGGCCCGCCACAAGGGGGGGATACTGGGTCCTTGGTACCGGGGCCCGTGACGCAGGTGGCAAACCACTACGAATTCATG